GCGAATCAAAGGGACTGCAGGGTTTAAGACACTTAAGTCACCGGTTGCAGGAGTTACGACGTGACCCCTCTAACAATAGCCTCCGCTTGAAAGTAAAATCATCCTTGCAAGGTGTTCGCTTGAGCGTGCCGGACCTCCCTTCGCTCCCAGAGGGTCATGAGGAAACGGCTTTGCCCAGCGTTAACGAACTGCTTGAGGCTTACGTGGCACAGGAACGCTCCGCTGCCATGGCTCAGTGGAGGCAGCGACTTCAGGTGCAGCCCAACAAGCAAATCGCTTGGGTTAAAGCCCGCGCCCAGCAGGCTTGTGATGCGGCCGCCGCGCCACCGGAGGTCAGCAAAGCCATCTCGGCGATACATCCAACTTCCATCTTGCAGCAACATGGCAAGGCGTGGGCAGAACTGTGGACTGCGCCAGCAGGCTTAAACTTCACCACCCCTACCATGCAAAGCATCCTTGAAACAGTGCCAAAAAGGGCCCCTTTTTCAAATGAATTTCCTGGCGAATTTTCTTTTGAACCGGAGGAACTGATTGCAGTCGCAAAACAAATGAAAGGCAAAGCGGCGGGGCCAGACGCGTGGAAGTCTGATCATCTGCTTGAATTACCCATGCCCTGGTGGGTCCAGTTCACACGCCTTTGGAACTCCATCCTGCAGGGAGCCCAGACGCCGATGCAATGGCGCCGCGGCCTCGTGGCATTGTTACCCAAACGGGTAACGTCAACACGCCCGATCGGGCTTCTCCAGGTTGCTTGGCGCATCGGCGCAAAATGTCTTTGCAAACGTTTAAGAAAATGGATCCTCTCCTGGGTCAGCCCGAGTGCCTTCGGCGGGGCTCCGGGATTCTCAACCGCAGACGCACACCTTCGTATTGCTTCAGCCCTAAAAAGGCAAGTAAATTCTTTTGTCGTGCAAGATTTAAAAGGCTTTTTTGATCATCTTCAACTTAACGCCGTAATCCCGATCCTCAGACGGCTCGGTGCACCCAGCTGCTTGGAACACATCTTGAATAGCGTCTACTCGGGTGCCGAGCGGCTCTTCGTTGCAGGCGGATTTGCGGCCGCAGCCTGGACTCCTGTTTCACGAGGCTTGGTACAGGGGGACCCACTAAGTCCTTTATTGGCGTTGGCTGTCAGCGTGGCTTGGAGCTCTTACGTCATACAAGGCCCAATCCGAGGCCTTATGTATGTGGATGACAGGCTTCTTTGGCCGGAGCAGAGTGCCAACCCTGCCCGAGCCATTGGGCAGGCGGTGGAACGATCCACCAGGTTCGACAGAGCTTTCTACTTAGTGTGCGAACCCACCAAATGCTCTGTCATTGCAGCTCCTGGCGACACTTCCCTTCAGGACTTGGCGGAACGGCAGGGCTACATGCAGAAAACTTCGCTTGAAATTTTAGGCGTCGAAATCGACTTGTCGGGAAGCACCCCCAAGCCGCTCAGGTTGGTGCTAGATCGTGTGCTGTGGCGCCTCCGCTTCATCAAATACCTTCCTGTGCCCATCCACCGAAAAACTCAACTCATGTGGACTTTGGGGTTTTCGGCTGTCTTTTGGTGTGCTGGCGTTGCTTCCCCGGGCGATGCCGTTCTCTCCACCATCAGGTCCGAGGTCCTTGCTGCATTTCGCAGAAGCTTCACTCCCGAGGTGCCGTACTTCTTGCAGCACTGCATGATGGGGTGGAACACAGACCCCTTTTTCATGCAAGATTACACAGCCCTTCGTCGTGTCCAGTCCTTCGTTGCACAGCGACCTTCTTGGCTTGATGATGTGCCACTCCGGGAGGCCGTCGATCCGTGGTCGGATCTGTTTCCGGTGGCGGCTGAGGCGGTCCGAAAACACAAGTGGACCATCCTTCCTCATGGCGAGGGCCTTGCCAAAACCGATAGCAACGGGTGCCGCCGAGTTTTTCGCTTTGGATTCTCTTCCTTGAAGGTCCTGCGCCAGTGGCTGGAAGAAGAATACGTGCGACAGGGCGTGCACAATGCCGGTCGCATTAAAGCTTCGCACCACAGGGTTGACCCTAATGCCGCTTCGGGTTTTAGTCTCCCTAAGCCCCCTAGGCAGGCCTGGTTTTGTTTTGCCGCGCATAGAAAAATCTTTCTTAATCCCGAAAATCTTGCGCAAAAACGTGCCGCAGTTGCAGCTGGAGCCAGTTTTTGGCACACGCACTGCGGGTCCCACCGCCCAACACCAACTGATGCAGATAAAGTGTGCATGTGCGATAAGCTTGAACCGTCGAGAGCGCACCTCACGTGGTGCTGCCCGGGCCTAAGCACATTGCGCGAGACCAACCCGGTCGTTCCTCCGTCTGATCGCGCCTCTGAAAGGCTCTTTGCCCCTCCGCTTGAGACTTTCCCTGCTGCGCCTGAGCCAGCGCCCTTGCAGCATGCACAGCTTGCCGATGCTATTCGCAATCTTCTGGCGGCTGACCAGGAGGCTCAACCGTGCATCGCCACCGACGGCTCGCACCTTGAAGACGTGGCTGGCTCTGCAATAGTTCTTCACCAGGCTGGTCGTTTCTCGACTTTTGCTTTTGGCGACGACGACGAAGACCAGTCCAGTTACCGTGCCGAGCTTCTGGCCCTCCGTGAGTTAGCCCAGACGTGCGTTGTAGCTGCCTTGGCTGGGGCACGAGGCGAAGTGTACGTCTTGGTGGACTGTCAAGCCGCGCTTGCTGCACTTAAGTCGCGGTCGTGTGCGACCCTTCAGCTGCTCGTACAACAAATCGCCACACATCTTGAAACTTCCACCAGATGCGGTTTAAAATTGAGTCTGCGATGGATGCCCGCACATGGACGTCAGGCCACTTGGACGCCAGACTTTCCCTTGCCGGTTGACTTGTGCAGACTGCTCAACGACAAAGCCGATGCCGCTGCACGTGATGTTATGCACAGGAGGCACCACAACTCTGCCCGTGCCACCTGGCATCGACGACGACGCGAAGCTCAGGAATGGACCAAGCAGGCCATCAACCTCTCAACTCAGGCGGGCGAGGCATACCGCCAGTGGTGTGAGAAACGACGTCTTGCTAGACCCGGGAATGGGCGACACGATGACGACGACGCAGCTGCTGATGGGGCGGCGGCTGCTGGGGCCGCTTCTTCGGGCGCGGTGGCTGACGGCGCAGTGGCTGCCGGTTCGGTGGCTGCTGGTGCGGCGGCTGCTGGCGACGTGAACTGAGTGCTACCACGAGCTCCTCTGAAACACTGTGTACAGTTTGAGTGCTTGAGCCTGCTTGTAGTCTCGCTCCTTCTGTAGTGGTACTGGCTGTCTGCTTGTGCTTCCGACTACGTAGTTCACGAACTCTTTGAAGCTTTCTCTAGCTTGACAAACCTAGCTAGAGTGATGTTGGCATGACATGTTGTTCAGTCTCATGTTCATGCTGACATGTCTCGAGGTAGCTGCTTTCTCACGGCTTGTACAAACTGCGTCTCAGCACCACTCTTCGGGCCCAAGGAGGCCTCGGCACACGAGGCTGACTCAGCCTGACCAGTGAAGACCCAAAGAGTTCAAAGAGTTCGCATTACAGACAGGCGTGTTTGGTTGCGCGTGTCAAGCCAGCTTAGTAGCAAGCGCAAGCTGAGTGCAGAATCCGTGCGCATTTTGGATGTCTTTGAGCACTGGTTGCTCCACATGTCACCCTTCGTCAGCATGCGCCCTGCATCTGTTCCACTCATTGAAGCTCGCGCAGACGCCAGCGCCCAAGGTCAGCAGGCATGTATCGGTGGTTATGTTCACCACCCGCAGTTAGGTCAAAGGTGGTTTCGTGAGCAATACAGTTATGAGGAGTTCAGGCATCTTGGGATACCAGTCCAATCTGACATGCAGCTCGATATTGCGTGTTATGAAACCTTGGCACAGTCAGGGTTGATCGTCGCAGCATCGGAGTTGCTTCCGAGTTCCCGGGTCACCATCAGGCTCCACACACAGTCTGACAACACAGGAGCAGAAGCTGGGATAAATTCAGCGTTGACCACCGCCAAGCCATTGTGTTATTTTCTCGAGCGCATTGCACTGTTGGCTGCTACGCATAGGGCAGTTCCGGATGTGAGTCACATAGCGGGGGAGCGCAACGTGAAAGCTGATGCACTTTCTCGTCCTGACGAGTATGATGTTCCTTCTGATTGTGTTGCCAATGACAGGCTTCGGCTGCCGCTGAAATCTCTGTGGCTCCCGAGGCCGACGCCTCACGTCTGCCCCGAAGGGGCCTCACTTTGCTGGGCAGTGCGGGAATCCGGAATGCCGAGCAACCCCACGTAGGTTTGGGGTTCTGTGTGAGCGGGGTTGCTGGGTAGTTTTTTTTGGGGGGCATTAGTCCACCCAGCAACCGTCTTTTGTGTTTGAACCTAGTCTCGGAGCTGTGGGACTTTTTCGGCATTCCGGAAAAAGCTTCGTCTTCGCTTCGTATGCTCTCTTTAAAGCCTCCGGCTATACCGCTAGCATGCACAACACTAGTTTATAGAACGTATCGTGTACTTGTTTCACGTATGTTTTATAAACTATGTTTTCGTGCAACATTTTGGCTCATAGTTGTGCATGCTAGCATGATGTCACTTTTGTTTTCCTCACCCTCCCGCCCAAAAGAGTGTTGTGCAGTACTACTGTCCTTCAGCGGTTTGTGCAGTTGTTTCCAACTTTGGGCATTTCAACTTCGTCTCACAGGCACTGGCCATTAAGAGAAAACAAGACCTCGAAGTAAGAAACCCGCAGAGCCTCCGGGGCAGGCTGTAGGTTTCACCCGAATGTGCACGCCATCTCCCTGCGCAAGTCGGCGTCTCTGCTGTTGTCCTTGGCTATGTTATATCACTATCTGTGCTTTACGCGGATGGGAGATATTTCGGCTACTGCTTGTCACCGTTTCCTGAAGGTCATGCCATCACCAGCGTTTTTTTTTGGGCATTATCAATCTTACGTGCATTTGAATATCGACGGGCGTAGACCGCGCTCTGCAAATCTGTCTCTAAACCCCGCGTTTGCCCTCACGGCATACATGCACCACGAATGGCGTTCGTTATTGCTGTCATTTATTTGCTGCACATGTGCGGTTATCTGCCGCGTTATGCCGTTGTTCAGTTGCATGGGGGGGCATTAGTCCACCCAGCAACCGTCTTTTGTGTTTGAACCTAGTCTCGGAGCTGTGGGACTTTTTCGGCATTCCGGAAAAAGCTTCGTCTTCGCTTCGTATGCTCTCTTTAAAGCCTCCGGCTATACCGCTAGCATGCACAACACTAGTTTATAGAACGGGCGAGGATCTGGAGGACGAGCCCGAGGACGACTTGGAGGCCGGGGGTGTAGGCTTTGGCCTAAGTGGCGAGGACGCGGCCCCCACCATCGAGAATGCCGTGCTCCAGCTCACCAAGATTGTCTCAAACCTGACGCAGGCGAAGAAAGGACCGGATCTGGAGAGTTTGCTCGATCAAAGTGGATTGGGGAGCTCCGGGGATCCTTCCAGCCTCGGGACGGGGAAGAAGAGCGGAGCAGCGCTCAGGCTGCTTACCAAGACGTTCGAGGACTCGCCTCAAGTCATCGCCGAGTCCGTGTTGAATCATATGAGAAAGGACCTAGGCGGTCTTGCGGGCGATGGGACCTCTCTCTCGCCCGGACCTGGTTATGCGCCAGGTCAAGGATTCAGAACTACCACAATCAGGTGCGGTGGTCGTGGCAGGTCGCGGGGATCCTCGACGACCTGGTGGAGAACAGGGTAGAAAAGGCGAAAGCCCGAGCTGCCCTCTTGCTCGGGGCGTCGGACCAATCTTTCATCGACGGAGGCTCCTGGATTATGAGTACTGTGTCCCTGCTCGAGACGGTGCCCCCCTACCAGGAGTTCTCGAAGCACAGCATGCCCCAGGCCTCCGAGAGCCAGACGAGTGCTCTCTTCGATCCGCGATGGTCGGAGGTGTTCCTTGCCGTGTTGCGGGACCGGGACTCCTTCAACGAGGCGAGGCGCAAGCTTGCATCCCTGGAGAAAGGCGGCCGAGGACGTGCGAACCAAGGCGAAGATGGATCTGCAGACCAGCCTGGAGGACAGAGAGGTCCGAAAGGTGGTGGCAAAGACAAAGGCGGCAATGGTTCGGGCGGCAAGCCCGAAAAGTGAACGACTCTTTTGACATGGAGGCTGAGCGAAAGGGCCGCCTCGATGGCAGCTCGGCTCCGTGTAGTTTTGGCCCTTTTCTCCCCGAGGCTCCTTTTCAGCCTGAGCCGGAGTTTGTCGATAGACGAGTGGCTGCTCATACAGGCCGACCTGGTGATTCGCGACCTGACTCTCCTCGGCAAGTTCCCGGTTCTGGTGCGAGCCCCGTTGATCCTTTGAAAACTTTTCTGGGTTTAGTTAAGTCAGTTTTCCAGTGCTCTGGGTTTCTTGGGGCCTTTGCAAAAAGTTGCACGCGCGATGCCCGGTCAAGCAAAACAGCTTGCGAATTTCGAGAAGGGAGAACACATGTTTGGCCTCTTCCTCTCCCCTATCCTGGGGTACTTCGAGGAGATCACAACCGCCTGAGCAACGCCGATCTCAAGAAGTTGGTGGTTAATGTGCAAGTGATCCTGCTGAACTACCTCGACCTGGGAAGGCCCCGGCGTGCCCCCGTGAGTTGCACTTCTGCACAGTCGCCTACGGCTGAACAGTGGGAGGTTATCTTTCGCCTCGAGTGTTTCCTTGATGCCTGGTTTGAGCTGGGCATCCTCTCGGCGGAGGAAATGGGGCGCACGGCCGGCAAGGTCGAAGACTTGGAGAAAGTGCTGGGAAAGCTCTCGACGTTAGTTTCAAGGTGGGATGCAAGCGTCGGGAGTGGTAGCAAATAAGCCTTCTCGCTTGCGAGACAGCATTTTATTTCCCAAACGAATTTCTGATTTGCAGTGCTGCGGTTTTTACCATGTGCGATTTCGAATTGCAGGTTTGAGTGTTTGCACCACTTTGTTCGGCATGTGTTTGCTCATGCGATTCCTTGTTCTCTGTAGCATTTGGGCTGTGTGCAGTCGTGAGAACAATTTTGATCCCGCCCGCCCGCCCTGTGGGGGGTAGGGTGAGAGATGACGGATTGCCGTTCATCTATGTGCAGTGGCACATGGTGTATGCGACGTGTTGGGTGTGTGCACCCCGTTTCCGCTTCACTATGCATGTTGACTCTCACCAGGACATACCCCGCTTGCTTGAAAAGAGAGAGGGTTCGACCGAGTGCCTGAGTTACGATTTTTATATATTGGAATTATATTTGATTGGATTCCTCCCTTTTGTGACATACCGCTTTCGTTGGAAATAAAAATCTTGAACTTGGCCGGCTACGCGGAACAAAAGTCGTGGCTTTCAAACCTATCGAAGCTGACCGTCTTCGTTTCAGAGGTTTTCCGGACTTCGATCCTCGGCCTTTTCTTGATCCAATCACTTTAGAAATCTTCGAACACCCCATGCGGCAGTCTCTTCAGCCTGGTGAGTTCGAAGGCTCGATCCCGCGAGTGCGGGTCCACTGCTCCCGTGAGGAGAGATTGAGGCTGTTCAAGCTCCTAGACCAGTCCCGCAGGATCCGGCTGTTCCCAGCTGAAGAAGTACGTGCAGAGTTTGGCTCAGGAGTTTTTGCCGTGCTCAAATCGTTGGAGCTAGACCGCATGATATTGGATTCTCGACCCCACAATCTTCTCGAAGTACCTCCTGGCAGGTTTATTCAGTCTCTCGGATCCGGAGAAGTGCTGACGCAGCTGCATTTGGAGGACAGCGAGCGACTGTACTTGTCATCGAACGACATTCGAGACTTCTACCATCTGTTTCGTGTTAATACTGAACGATGCAGGCGAAACGTTCTCGTGGGGACCATTACACCGAAGGAAGCTGAATGCTTAGGTTGTTTCCAAAAGTACATGTATCGCCATCCTGAACTTCATGTCGGATTATCCTGTTTGGCCATGGGTGATACACAAGCTGTGGAGTTGGCACAAACATGTCACTTAGGCTTATGTGTCCAAAAGAAGATCGTGAGCAAGAACACGTTGGTTTCAATGAGTTTGCCGATTCCCCGGGGAAAGGTTGGCTGTGGCATTGTGATAGATGACTTTGTCAGCTATGCCATCGACTCCCGAGGCTCCGCGGAGGTGGATTCTCAACCTACATCTGGAGCGCTTCTCGCGGACCAGGCCCAGGAAGCCTACCGAGAGGTCGAGCTCATTCCTCATGATGATAAATCAGTGCGAGACTCGCTCAGGTCTGAAGTTTGGGGTGCCTTGGTCGACGGCGACAGAGGGTACATTCGAGGCTCGTTGAAGAGGGCTGCACCTTTGTCGCGAATCATCCTGAGCGTCCTTCAGATCGGAGCCGTGACTGCAGGTCTGCTGGAAATCATCGCAGGTGTCATTGCTCTCTTCATTTACCGGAGGCGACTCATGTCGCTTCTTGAATCAGTCTTTTCTGAAACACGAGGACGAGAGCAGGATGAGGCTTTCATGCTGAACGAGAAGCTCCGCGAAGAGCTTATTCTTGCGCTAGGGCTGATCCCCACCGCAGTCGTCGAGCTCCGGGCTAAGTATTCTGATAAGGTCTACGCTGTCGACGCTTCGAATTGGGGAGAGGCCGTTTGCCATTGTGAAGTGGGAGCCGAATTGTCGAAAGAGCTGAGCAGGCACTCGCTTCGCAAAGGTGTGTGGTCGCGACTGCTGAGCCCTGTAAAGGCCAGAGAACGCGGGCACGGCATTCTTGATCCCGACCTTGAACTACCTGGAGGCTCTGAAGCTCAGTTCCGAGCTCATCCCATCTGGGTCGCCTTGAATACAGCAGGTCGGTTCAAGCTGTCGTGGTCCAAAGCTGCGAAGCGGAGGAGGCACATCAACATAGGGGAGTTGCGTTCATTCCTGAAGGCAGAGAAGATTTCGAAAATCCCGGGGTTTCCTACTCGGTCTGCTGTCGGAGGCGACTCCCAGGTGGCGCTGGGGGCCGTTCTCAAAGGACGGTCAGCAAGCCCGAGCTTGAACAAGGAGCTCCAGGGCTCGATACCGCATGTGATTGGAGGTGGGCTACAAAACTTCTACCTTTACTGCCCGACTAGCATCAATACAGCAGACGCTCCGACGCGAGGCCGATCTGTACCTCCACCGCGAGCTCCTCTTCCAGAGTGGTGGGAACCTGCCACTCGAGGTGATTTTGAATTGCTTGACTCTTGGTTGGACGCCGCCCAGGTCGACCCCTACACTTTAAGTGGTCTCCCTTCGTTGAGCGAGATCGCCAAGGACATCCAGCGTGAAGTTGAAGCCCAAACCACGAAGCATTTTCGAAAGGAAGTGCGTAAAAGCCGTGTTGCTCTTTGCAAACCTCACGAGTGTCAGGCATTTGTCTCTGGAACGCTGCTTGGGTCCTACCAAAAGTGTGTTCGAGAGCCTTGAGGGGGGGTGGGGGGGAAAAACAGTACGACTCTGAACGCTTGAATCCTTGCGGACATGTGATTGACGATTTCACTTGAGCTTGATTTTACCTCGGCTTGATTTTAGATTGAGTGCTTGATCTTTGTACAGTGTGATTGAGATCCTTGCACGGCAAAGTTACGACTCAAGTTCTTTTGTGAGTGGGTGGGCGTAGGGGACCTCCGGCGCTATGGCTCACCATGAGTGAATTCCGGCAATGGGCTCGGAGTGGCAGCAGCTTCGGGAAATCAACCCTGTATTCTGCGAGCGTGTTTCGAGGGTCTTCTTTCATATTGGAAACTTTTGCTTGGCTGCAGCTACGCTTGAGGATGTACAGGCAATCGTGGATGATTCGATGAGTGATGTTCTTAAGATTGAGGATCGTGTGGCGCTTACAGAATCAGTGCATAAGTGGTGCGCGCTTCATCAGGGGACAGTGGAAAGGACTGTTCGCGAGATCGGGCAGAATGTCCGACGGGGGCCTTATATCCGTCGTGGGCCCAGTGTGACGGCTGCCGATTTGTATGAGGGGCTTTTGGCTTCTGATCCTGTGCTGGGTTTGGCTGCTCTTGAGAAGAAGTTAAAGCTTCGCAAAGCTGGAACAGGGGCGCGTGTGGAAGCAGAGGACTTGTGCAGGCGCCGCTGGGGCCTCAAGCTCGCGGGCTACATCCAGGAGGCGGCTCTGCCAGCATCTGAGAGAATTGGGTCGCTGGCTGACGCGGAATCGGCCTGGCTACGGGCTTTCGGTAGCAGGCGCGGCAAGACCTTGAAGAATCGGGCTCGCACGTGGGAGCCGGTGCGCGAGTGGATGATTCAGGCGACCGGGAAACCTTGGCCAGGAGACGCATCGCTGTTGCTGCAGTACTTCGTTGAGAGGCATCAGATCAGGCCGATGGGGAAGACTGTTCCGCAGAGTATCTTGTCAAGCCTTGGTCTGCTGGAGCTGGTTGGGCAGAGGCCTTCAGCAGATAGGCTGTCGGAGGATCCTTTACTTGTGGAGTCTGTGAAGGCATGGACGATGCAATTGGAGACAGGTGCCGAGCCGGTCAAGCAGGCGGAGCTCGTTACGGTGGCAATGGTGCTCTCAGCTGAGATTCTGCTGGTGAAGGTCGGGACACCCCCTGGGCTGCGGTTCGGATGCTTCATTTTCTTGCTTATGTGTTGGGGAACGCTGCGATGTGACGATATACAGGGGATCGATCCTTCGAGTGTTACGCTGTCACAGCTTGGAATGAAATTTGTTCTCTCCCGGACCAAGACCTCTGGACCTGGAAAACGGATCGGGCAGCTGCACGGATACCTTGTGAGGAGCATAAGCCTTTCTGGCTATGACTGGATTGCGCATTCATGCAAACTCTTGATGAGCGAGGATTTCAAGTTTGCTCGGGATTTCTTGTGTCCAGACATTGGTGAGTCGTGGGAAGTCAAATCGAGGGAGTACGTTGGCGCAGAGGGCGTCGCCAACCTTGTGCGACGTGTGATCCTGGAGCTGCCGGTCCCGGGGAAGAAGGATGGAGTCTGGGGTCTGAGCAAGACAACGAAGCTGGTACCGAAGGAGCTGGCGCTCTTCTGGTCCGGGCACTCGCCGAGGCATTTCCTTCCATCCTTGGCGGCAGCAATTGGGATCGACGAAAAGAAGCGCGACTTTCTCGGACGTTGGGCGGCTGCCCGGCAGGGGTCAACCGCTTATGTGCTGACGGCCAGACAAATTATACAGCAAGTTCAGGCTGAGGTGTGCGAAACACTCTTGACTGGGAAGAACCAGCCCGGCTACATCGAGGAGGAGCTGCTTCTTCGCTTAAAGGCGTTTGCGGAACAACATGGAGTTTCTAACGGGGCTGTTGCACGCCACAATGTCATGGTGTGGTGCGCACTCAACTTGTGCTGGAGTCTTCAAGGAAAGTTTCCGGCAATTGCAGTTGACCATGGAAGCCATCAGCAAGCGGTGGCCGAGCCACCGAAGGACCAGCCGGCGCCTTCTCCGGAAGATGCAGATGCGCCATACTTTGTCGTTGTGAGTCGTAGTGGGCACAGACGTCTTCACATGTCACGCACTTGTGCTGTAAGGCAGGAGCGTTGCTTGGAGACCATTCCTTTGTACAGCATCACTCAGGATTCTGCAGATGCAATCTGTAAGTTATGCAGGCCCCGGCTACAGGAGCAAGGGGCGGTCAGCAGTGAGTCCGCATCCTCAGATGCAGTGGAGCCGTGACACATGAGGGGTGTGAAAATTTCGTCGCATCAGTGGCTTGTCGCGTGAGTCAAAGCAGGAAGCACTTCGGTTGTGCCACGTCCCGTGAGTGTCAGATTGGGACATTGCATCAGATTGAGAAGAGCCGCAGTCACGTCAGTATCAGGTGCAGTGCTATGACATGTCTCTCTTGTCTTAACGTTGTGCAAATTGAGGTGAGCCGATCAGACTCTTCAGACACTGTGGCATTTCCTCACACAGTGTGTTCGGAGGTAGCTTGCAGTGAGTTCCAGACATGGATTTGCCAGCTGGAGTGAGTGAGGAAGCGGCTTCGAAGTTCTTGTCCACTGAAGTCGATGCTGAACTTGCACACATCCTTCAGGAAGCTGGAGTCCCGCTTGGATTGCAGTACAAACTCACACAGTCTTTCAAGACTGTGAGGCGGTTTCAGTCTTATGAGGACACCCGTGCAGGGATTCGAGATGCCTTGAAGAACGATTTCGCTCTGGAGCCTACTACTCTTGATAAGCGTGCTGGAATCTCAGCTGTGATTAGTGCTTGGGAGGCATGTCAACAGTTTGCCGCGAAAGAGCAGGAGCTTCGCGCGGAAGCGCGCGTGTTGGGGGTTTCAAGGGCCGTCACACAGACAGATCGGAGTGCGATGAGAGCCGCCTTCGAGGCGACCCACGGCAGGCTTGAAGATGCACATGAGCCTTCCGAGGATTACATCTCATGCAAGATGGAGGAGCTTGAGGCTCATGAGCCGACGGCTTCGCCGCTGTCCGAGGTTACATCACGCAAGACTGTGAAGACTCAGGGGATCCAGACTGCAGTCGATTCTTCAGGCCATGTTCGCATCGTGCGGACGAAGGTCAAGGGATCATTGCCTCAGGGCACTGAGGAATTGCGCGCGGTGATGCGTGTTGAGTGCAACCTGTGGTGCTTCTTGGCGACCAAATATCGCAACCGCGAGCTCTTGCGAGGCATGGACCCCGAGTGCTGGAATCAGTATGTTGCATTTCTGCTGTCTGACAAGGTTTACCTTATGAAGGTGCCGATGGCAGGTGGCAAGGGCAATCAGACCGAACATGTACCATTGCGGCCCCCTTGGTCAGTGTTGCTGAATTTCGAGTTTGAGTTGCGAAAGGAGGCAATCAAACGGGCTGTACAGGGCAATCGGCCTTTGAAGGATACACTCGCGGAGGTGACGTCCGATGCTCAGCTCAAGGAGCAGTATTTTACATCGCCCATTGCCCTTCAGCAGGTTGCACCGCCACCGCGGCCAGATCCTTTCTGGCCACAGCGACGGTTCCGACAGTGGGACAATGATTGGTCCGAGAGCCCGGCCAAGTGGCAGCGAACAGGCAAAGGACGTGGCCATGGAAAGGGCAAGAACGGCAAGGGGGGCAAGGCCAACCGCGATGAATCCAAGGGCGATGGCAAGGGCCTCGGCGGTGGCAAGGGCAAGAGTGATCATGCGCTCTGGACACACACGCCGGATGGACGTCAGATTTGTTTTCCATTTAACGCTCAGGGCTGTGATGGCAGCTGCGGTCGAGTTCATGTATGTCGCGTCCGAGGATGCATGCAGTCCCATCCGATGTGGCAGCATTTCCAGAGCTTGGCCGCAAAGGCGGCAGCACCGACCGGGGCGCAAGTCACCAACTGACGTTCTAAACTCACCGTGCTGTATCTTTTCGCTGGGCAGGCACGGGAAGGAGATATCAGATCACACTTACAGCAGCTCTGCACGTCGCGGGGACTGGATTTAATTTTGCATGAGTTTGATTTGCTGCGAGGTCCTGAACAGGATCTATCGTCGCACAGGCTTTGGGAGCGTCTCTTCAAGGACATTTCGTCTGGAGCCTACGATATCCTTATTTTGAGCCCGCCTTGTTCCACTTTTTCGCGGGCTAGACATCGTTTTGCGGGGGCATTTGGCCCACGCCCACTTCGTTCACATGGCCATCTGCTGGGTTTTCCTTGGTTGCGTGATTCAGATCGCACAAAAGTTGAGCTGGCAAATTTCTTCGTGCAACAATCTTTTGAAGCCATCCGTTTCCAGAGGCAGCAGGGCTTGTACTTCATTCTTGAGCACCCTGAAGATCTGGGCCGTGTGCCGTCTGGTGAGAGGCCTGCTTCCATTTGGTCTTTTGATGGGGTTCGTCAGATTTGCGCTGGAGGCGAGGTCAGTTGCTGGGCATTGCATCAATGCCTTTTCGGGGCTATGTCATGCAAACCCACCCGCTTGTTATCCAATTTGCCCGGAGCGTTGAACTTTGGGATACAAATGCCATGTTTCAATGATGACGGGGACTACGTGGGGCCGCTCTTGCGCTGCCCGCATACACATGCAGATCGAGCCTGCGGCTTTCAGGATGGCACTTGGAAATCGGCCGCCACGGCGGCTTACCCTTCGGAGTTCGCTGCTTTCATCGCCCGTCTCTCTTTGAGTGTGGTGCCTGAGCTGAGGGCCGTGGCTGACTCCGACCTGATCCCCGCCAACATCCCTTCATCCGCCGAGGCCTTTGCCACGGAGTGCATCACACGCGGTTCTTTCGATCGCGCTTCAGTTCAGATTCTTTTCGACTTGCTTCCTAAGACTCGGCCTCATAAGATCACCGGCAGTGCAGAACCTGGCACCGCTTTCTTTGGAGGCACTGTGCACCAGGAGGGTCTCACCGCACCGCGGTCCACTTGTTTTACATTCCCCGAGTCCATGCGTGTGATCAATGCTTTTCTTCACTCCGTGGACCCGCACCACCGTTACGCTGCTTTTGTTCTCACAAAGAACGTTACTAGTGAGGTTCATCGTGATCCGCGGAACGCAGCTGTGCCCAACTTGATTGTGGCAATTTCCTCCTTTTCTGATGGTGGCATTTGGATACAGGATGACTCAGGTACCCAGGTGCGATCCTTTCACGGCTCGCCCGTCACCGGCACTGTACACTCCTTACAAGACGGACCCGTCTACCTGGATGCCCGTGGATGTTTGCATGCTACCCAACCTTGGGTTGGGGATCGTCTCATCGCCATTGCATACACCCCTCAGAATCCGCAAGCTGGATGAGAGTGAGTTTGAACCGCAGATGCAGAACTACTCTTCTGCCGAGCTGTCTTCAGATAAGATCGAAGAGCACTTCAGGGCTGAGGAGCGGGAAGGCTTGATGGTGGCGACGACTGAAGGGGCCGTGAAGGCGGAGTACGGCGAGGGGCGACTTCTGGTGGCCGCCATGGGGGCCATTCTTAAACCAAGTGGTGATGTCCGCCCTCTTCACGACGCCACCCACGGCGTCCGCTTGAACAATGGTATAAGGATTGCAGACAAACTCGAAGTGCCTGGACCTGCAGAAATCATCGAGACCGTGTCCAGGGCGCGACAGGATTTTGGTGTCCCCTTCTCCATTGCGGCGGACATTGCCAAGGCACACAGGAGGTCTAAAATACGACGACGCGACTGGCCCTTGTTGGGCTGCCGGACTTCGTCGGCATCTAAAGTGATTTGGCTTAATTGCGTAGGAACTTTCGGGGTAAGTTCAGCTGCGATCCTTTGGGCCAGATTGTTCGGATGCATCGGACGCTGGGTCTTGAGAGTGATGGGACGGCTCTGGAATGTGCAGATTGTGTACGTTGATGACCTTCATATCGTGGTGACTGGTCCCGACAAATACGTGGTGCTCTGGATGATTCTGGCTGCTTACGAGGTGCTGGGCACGCCGTTTTCTTACCGGAAGTTTCACGGTGGTGTTGAGTGCGAGTTCGTGGGCTACTGGCTTTCTTACCGAGAGAGTGCCGCCGGGATTTCGCTCAAGAGGACGCGCTGGGTTCTTGATTGGATTGACAATGCCGAGGCGAACAACTGGTTCATCACGGGTCGGCGCTTTGCCGAATTCCTTGGACGGCTCAACTTTGTTTCCAGGGTGTTGACTTGGATCAAGCCTTTTCTTGCACCGCTGTATGCTTTTGATGCCGTCTTGCAGAAGGGGACTGTGGCGAGGATTCCGGAGATGGTCTTCGTGTCGCTGGTGTACATCAGGGAGCAGTTAGCGGACTCCAGAGGACTCCACAGTGTGCTACAGGATTGGCGGGCACCTCGGGAGAGTTTCAGAACAGATGCAAAATGTGCCAACGGCTTGGTGGTGCTCGGTGGCTACTCACTTGAGAAGGGGACGGACCCGTCGGGGGCCAGATGGTTTTGCCTCGATGTGGTGCCGCAGGACTTGCCTTGCCTTTTCAAGGAAGATGGCGACAGCCAATGGGCATCGACGAGTGCGGAGTTGCTGGCCTCACTTGCGGCGATGAAAGTCTTTGATCATCTGGAAAAGGAAACGGCGGGAGTGCGTGACAACATCAGGACTGTGGTATGCGGCGGAACTGACAATTCTTCGACTGGCAAGCTGCAGAAGAAGGGCTCGAGCACTAAGTGGCCGTTGATGGGCATCCAGATGGCTTGTGCAGCGGCTTTGCATAAAGTGAACAAGCAGCTCACGCTGCAGTGGAGGCCTAGAGATGAGAACACTTTGTCGGATGCCATCACCAACCACGATTTTTCGAGTTTCTGCCCGGAGCTGAGAGTTCCTTTGAAGCTGGACGATCTGCCGCTTGATATTTTCCTTCGCATGGTCCACTCCAGGAGTGCTTTCTTGGATTCGCGTGTCAGCTTGCAGCGATTGGTCTCGAGGGAGTCGGCAATGTCTCGCCGGGAGAAGGAGACGAGCAAAACACCTTGGTGACCTTTTACATGTCGGACTGGCTGCCTTCCTTCGGGGGGGGTCTCGAGGCAACTGCGACCGTCATGTGAACATGTGGTCCAGGCTTCAGACGGCAAGATCCAGTTCGACGCACCGATTGAAAACAATGGTCTTCGAGTATGCCTTCGATTGCGCGATGCCTCAAGAGTGATTCTGAGCAACTGCATGTTCGATCGTTAACTGCTTGAGCTTTGGTGTGGAACCCTGGTGAATGCATTCGAGCGTCAGCTGCAGTTGATTTTCCAACGACTTTTGATTTCCCTTAAAACCCGACCCTAACCCTCAAGGCTCAAAGGTTCGACTCAAGGCGTGAGAACACGCAGCTTGGGCCCGAGACAGGAACTCCGCGAGTTCCAAGCTGGACAACACCGTAGGTAGGCTCGGTGGCTAAGTCTGTCTCGACTGTGCCATGGCTCCTTCCTCGGGGGGCGCTGTGGGTGCTGAGCGGAAAAGGATGATGGATTTGGCGGCCATGGAGGCCGCGACGTCGAGTACTCAGCTGACCCTACCTGTCAGCTACAGAAAGTTCAGGGGAGTTGCGCCGCGCAACTATGTTCTCAAAGCTATGCTTGAGGGTGAGCATGCTTCCATCGAAGACTTCCTGGAAAGGCTCAATGAGGATGCAAGTGCAGTTGTGGGATCGGCTGTGCTTGTGGATGAGCTCTTTCGTGTACGTGAAGCCCTCGTTCTTCTCTGGACCGAGCAGCTGACAAAGCGGTGTGATGGCGACCCCCCTTGGGTGGAGCGCCTCCAGGCGATGGGACATTTCCCAAGCACTACCCTGTGGTTTGCTGACGGGGACTTTGGCCTTGCTCCGGCGGAGGCCTATCGCGATGCAAGTGTCCAGCAGCAGCGGGGCAGCCGGGAGCAAGTGGCAGCAGCGCTGCCGCCTTCTGGTGGGCGACCTGGTGCTGGTGCGGACGCTGAGCTGGTGACGCAGCCGGCTGCTGGCGAGATTGAGGAGGATGCGGAGCTGGCTGGGCCTCCCGAAGTGGAGGCGACCAACCATGGCGACGCTGCTCTTCCTTGGCAGCCGGCGGCCAGATGTAGTAGCGTAAGGGCCCCGACCCGAGAACCGCGAAAAATCAAAGAAGATCCGTGGAAGGACAAAGAGCCACCTAGCCCGGCCTCTCCCTGCCTCCTTGGTAACATGTTTTCTAAGACCGGCCCGTTCGGGGCCCCCTCCGAGAGTAGCTCTCCTTGCCGCCATGGCCTCGGTGCTGCAGCTCTCGGCCTGTGTCAGTGTCAGTCCCCTGCCTCTTGCGAACCGGCAGGTGTGGACTTCCTCCCTGGACATGCTTTTGGCTATATTTTATCGTCAGACTCCGAAGAAAAATCGTCGGGGCTGGCAAAATATCGTCGGGACATCAAAGCAACCCAAAATATAGTCGGGAATGCATTTCTGGCCAAAATATCGTCGGGACTCCGGAAATATCGTCGGGACTTCGGAAATATCGTCGGGACTTCGGAAATATCGTCGGGACTCCGGAAATATAGTCGGGAATCCAGAAATATCGTCGGGATCCTGGAAAATATCGTCGGGACCCTCGGGACCTGCAAAAATATAGTCGGGAATCCAGAAATATCGTCGGGATCCTGGAAAATATCGTCGGGACCCTCGGGAAAAAATAGTCCGAGCCCCGGAAAACTCGTCGCCCCACCGAGAGCCGCCCACCGAGAGCCGTTTAGGAAGCCCCACCGAGAGCTTGGTCGGTCGGTTGGTCGATTTGATTGTTTTGGCAGTTTTGCTTGGTTGGTTGGCCGATTGTGCACCTTGCATGTTTCACCCTTGTTTCGCCCTTGTTGCTTGCTTGGCTTGGTCGGTTGGTCGGTTGGCCGTTTGTGCACCTTGCTTGTTTCACTCTTGTGTCACCATGGTTGCTTGGCTTGGTCGATTGGTCGATTTGATTGTTTTAGCATGGTTGCTCGCTTGACTTGGTTGGTTGGCCGATTGTGCACCTTGCATGTTTCACCCTTGTTTCGCACTTGTTGCTTGCTTGGCTTGGTCGGTTGGTCGTTTGGTCGATTTGCAGGTAAAAAAATGGTTGCTCGCTTGCCTTGGCTGGTGGGCCGGTTGGGCACCTTGCTTGTTTCTCCTTGGTTGTTTGCTTGGATTGCATGGTTCTGTCACTTGGGTACCTTGGTCGTTTGACCCTTCAGCATGGTTGCTTGCTGCAGCGATTTCAATCACTCAAGGGATCCCTGAATAGATTGACCTGCCACCATGCGAAGAGGCTTTCTGCTCGGTCCGAGTGCCGGCGGATCTGCAGGCGGTCGATCGTCCTCCGACAACAGTCCGAGTGGGGTTCGCTCGAGCTCCGACAGAGGGCCAAACGCCGAATCGTCCGCAGGCGGTCGAACATCCTCGAGGAGCCCTCGTGGGGATCGCTCGAGTGGATCGTCTCAGGTCGGCCGGCCCAGCAAAGAGGAAGGCATATCAGAGGAGTTCAAGGAGCGAGCCAAGCAGCAGCTACGCCGCATGCAAGCACTCGGACTGGATGTGTTCGTTTCGGATTCTGGCGAGATCTTCTCTCAAGAGGACTTGAAGCAGCTTCTTGGAATCAAGTAGGGGAAGTGATTGAATGCTTGAGGGAACGGAAAAACGCGATCGCTTGGGTGCAAGCATGCTTGTCTAAAGACTGATTTCGTGCTTGCTTGCCCGAAGGCACTCATCCCGTTCGAATGCTCCAAGCTGCATTGTCGTAATCGATCTAGAGTCTAGAGTCTGCCTCGGCAGCCTAGATCAAAGAACGCTTTCCTCAAAACATACTTCATCCGATAACTGAACCCTTAAAGACCTTGACGCCCTACAACCCAAAACCTTTAATTCTACCAAGCCACAGCCATTGTTGCCATCGAGAACTTCGGCCCTGAGATCCTTTTCCAGGACTGCATCCGATTCTCGCAATATCTGTCTTGAATCTCTTGCTGTCTCGCAGGACCTTTGGATGATTGGTGATTGGATTTGGATGATTGGTGGCTGGACTCCTGAGGACTGCATGCCGGTTCACGTTCGTCTGGAAAAGCTTCCACAGGCGTTGTAGCCTCTGAGCCCGTCGATTCTGACACCCTTTCTTGCAATCCAGTTTGCTTTTTGGAACCACCTCATTGCGCAGCTTTTTTCAGCTCGATCGATGACTGCATGTGATGGTCACATAGGTCACATGGAGAAACACATAACATAATTTTGATCGCGATGCCGCTGCCGCCGCCACCTCTGCCATTTATGGTCCGCGCTTTGCCGAACCCAACGACGCCGCTCCCTCCTGAGACTCTGTCTGTCTCTCTCTCTCTCTCTCTCTCTCTCTCTCTCTCTCTCTCTCTCTCTCTCTCTCTTTGCTTTGCTCGGGGTCTGAGGCGGGTGCAGTCCACTCTCTCTCTCTCTCTCTCTCTCTCTCTCTCTCTCTCTCTCTCTCTCTCTCTATCTCTCTCTTTGGTTTCTCTCTCTCGAGGCCGTTGCCGGACCACTTAGCGTTCCCACCGCGGCAGCAGCCGTTAATTATCGGCACCACGCACAACCAGCCGGCCATGCATCTCGGCCTTATTCAGGGTTCATGCTTTATTCCCTCGTGCAGCTAGTCGCTTGCTCTCTCACTCACTCACTCACTCACTCACTCACTCACTCACTCATTGAGGCTTTGCAACCCCAGATGGTTGAACCCTGCAGTTACTCCTTCCCTGCGACTCGGCTGGAACATCAGTAGCCTCATGCCCTTATAAGGTAAAAAGAAAAGGGAAACCCAGCATGAATCATCCTAAATCCATGTTCCAAGGCAAAGGGACCGCACGCCGCTGTTGAACTTAAGCATGATGCAGATGCCCACGACGCGCCCCGGCAAGTTTAGGGTTTAGGCTTTAGGGTTCAGGGTTTAGGTCTTGCGAGCACTAATCAAGCCTGTGGAAAAAGGTCTTAGGAATGGGCTTCAGGTTTATAGGGTGTGTTTTTGGCACGCCCAGGCAGGGGCTCTACTTCAACGTCAACGCGACGCCTTCATTGTAGCTCGGCAACATTCCGCAACCCCTTAAGCCTAGCTTAAACCCTAAACGGAACCCCTAGGCTGCTCCGCGGGCCTCCCACGGGCCGATTCGGCATGCAGCTGCCGCTGAGCCCGGCACGCGTGCACACGCAACTGGGCTAATCCTCTCTCTCTCTCTCTCTCTCTCTCTCTCTCTCTCTCTCTCTCTCTCTCTCTCTCTCTCTCTCTCTCTCTCTCTCTCTCTCTCTCTCTCTCTCTGATTGTTCGCTTGGTCGGCCGGTCGTTGTGCTTGGTCTGTTGTGCTTGAAGGCTTGCAGTGCTTGTTGGCTTGGTCGGTCGGTCGGTCGGTTGTGCTTAATTGGTCTTCACGGACAGGTCATCGCTGCCTTCCTCTGCCGCGGAGCCCGGGCCTGGGTCTCCTTTCAATCCTCCTTGGGCAGACGAAGAAGTACAGATGAGCGAGGGTGAAAGCTTACCTCCTTACGAGGAGGTAAGCAGTTGGCTGCACCCGCCGAGAAAGTACCGTAAAAGGTGCGCGGCATGCTGCTGCGACGATAGTGATGATGATGACTGAATCTGAAGAGTCAACCATCCTTTTTGTATTGTAGAAAAATAGACACAAAACCCTAGCTATACCTGTATGGTGGGACATCATCTTCGTTGCAGACGCGGGCAATCTTCTGCGATCAGGCTTGGCAAAAGGGGCTTGCTTATGCGTTGCATCGCTTTGCATAAGCTGCTGGAACTTGCATTTTGGCACTGTCTCTCGATCGTTTTTTCCTGCAGGACCTGCGGACACCCGGAGCTGGAGGCCAGTTCTGAAGCATTTTGGCAATCTGTGTCGAGTCCTGCATGGGCTGCATGGGCGGTTCCTGCTTGTTCCTCTGATGCTCCGCTTGCAAGCTTCCTGCTCGAAGGATCGATTCTTAAGTCGCTGCAAGAAGCAAAGCTACAGAAAGTGGACCGTGTGTTTCCCAACTCCCAACAATTGCCCGGGGATCTCATAATAAGCCACGCCATGGCAGTGTGCAACAAACTCCTCGCGTGGAAGGTGGATGGGTCCATTGGACTGCACTTTTCCTGTGATGAGGGTTTGGTATTCAAAGCCGGCTGGTATCACCGCGACTGGTGTCCGACACTTGGGTCGATCCAGGAGGAAGAGATTGCTGGTGTGTCATCTTTCGCCTGCTTTGAACTTCGCACCACGAAGCTTCACTTGGACACGCCCGTGTCAGTGAGGCATGCCAGGTATATACACAAAAGGCAGATGCTGCGGGACCAAGATGTCGATGTCAGCTGGAAGAAGATTCGAAGGACCGACATTGAAGTGCCGATGTTCCGGGGCCACATGGATCTGCAAATCCGAAGCTGATTGAGGCGTCGATGTTCCGGCCCCATGCTTTGACCTTCAGGTCAAAGCGTCGAAATTGGAACACGTTTCGATGGGAATGTGTTCTCTGTACAGTTCCCTGCAATAGTCAGGAGCAATACTCAGAACAGATGTGTGTCCTAGCACAAAGATTGTGCCAGAGTTCATAAGCATAATTAACCCTTGAACGCCAATTTGCCCCTGCCAGGGCTTTGATCTCGTCGACAGCTTGTGTGGAGCGTGGCCATGGGCAAACGCAAGACACTGGCAGGCGGGGATTGTTGCCGCAACACGGCTGTTTGGGTCTGCATGTGACTGCCGCTATACCATCTTTGCAATGCACTTTGCCATATCTGGCCCTATAGCTGATTGCCTTCGTGGCATATAGGGTGCATGCTTGATCATGTCGTGTGCGCATCCTATCCAAATCGGCCCTGGAACTCCAGAGCGGATAAAACAATACCCAATAGCTAGGCAGAGCCGTTGTAAACCAGTATCCAAACTACAAGCCTTCATGTGTATGCACGCGGGCTTTGCCCTAGGCAAGTCTGGGCACGTGTCCGGATTTTGCGCCATGCCTCGCATCAAAGATTTGGTTTTGGAAAAGGAGCAGGTGATGGAGTTGCTCGAGGATGGGATCCATGCATTCGTCCATGCTTCCGCTGGAAATAGAATTGTTCATACTTCCCACGCATTATCCTGTAGCTACCTGTGTAGGAGGTATCCTGTCCTTTCGACACCACGGATCTCCTCCGCGGAGATCCGGCTCAGCTGTTTCATCGAGCCGGCAACGCTGCAAAAATCACGCGGGAGATGCAAGTGGAATCTAAGAGGCACTTGAGTCTCACGGAGGGGGTGCTTGCTTGAGGTAGGTAGCTAGAGCTTGTTGTCGGTTGGCCAGTTGTGCTTGCTTGAGGTAGGTCGGTTGTGCTTGCATGGAGGTAGGTAGCTAGAGCTTGTTGTCGGTTGGCCAGTTGTGCTTGCTTGAGGTAGGCTTGGGATACCGCACCCAGCTGCAAGGAGTCGTACTGGATTCTGATGCCACTGATCCGAAAATACCCGGCGGCGACCTGGTCTGTGGAGACGCGGTCTGTCTTCAAAGAGCCATGAATGTCTGCTGTCGCGGGTCTGCTGTGACCATGCACTGCCCGCTGTGTCTTCATTCATGTGAGGTTGCAGTCGATCCTGGAAGAAGTGTTCAAAAGGGATGGCCCGAAGCACGTGGAATTGAATCAGAAAATGATGGAGGTGCTCGCCTTCGACGTTAAAGCTCTCTTTGCCGAACTGAGGAAGACTCGCCGGGTCTGGAAGTACGAAGCTAAGAGGCAATCAAAGGAATGGCCGGCTTCTGCGATGTCCGTAAATCCGAAGCTCTTCGAGATGATCGCCGCCATGCGGACGCAGGAATCCAAGGAAAACTTGGAAGACGACGACGACGTGTTGCTCTTCTTCAAAGAGAATGGATCAGTGGAATGCAGGGATCCAAAATCGCCCCCGGACGATTTCTTACTCTTCTGCAACGAAGATGGATCTACGGTGCGCCGGGAGCTTTTCAAAAACGAGACTCTCAGTTGCAAGCTGAACTCATAATGGCTACGTTGCCTTTGTTGACTGTCACTTCGTGTGTCTGTCCACTCGGGTCACTGCAGGCCAAGTGCTGACCCCGAAAAGGCATCCTCGTCGTCAGCGCAACCCAGGCCTCTAGTGCATACAGGTGATTTCGATGAACATGGCGGCAGTCATTTGGCATCTTCAATTAACCGTATATACCTCAGGAACCCTGAATCCCTAAAACCTCGAGACGACCCTAAACCCTAAATAACCCAGCTTCCGAAGGCCGGAGATCATGCAGCCGTCCACGGCATCATCGTCACAGAGCAGGCGCATAGCAGGTTTGACAAGTTGGACTTGGCATGGGTTGTGCTCCGGGCAGGTCCGCCGTGCCGGGGGAGATCACGGTGCAATCCCTTAGGCAGGCATGGAATCCGACCGTGTGGCTTCTTATGTTGAGTGCCTTGTGCAGGAACAATATCCTCTCGTCGCTATCGGGCAAAACACTGGAAATTCTTGAAAGTGAGGATGAGGATGCTCCTGTTTCTCTGCTGCTTCTGGCTATAACATCCTGTTTCCTTGGATGCCTCGATCGCATGTCAGGCTAGCAGTGCTGATGCCCGCGGACCTGCTACGAAACGCAAGTCTGACGTGTCCGGTGAAGTCTCCTAC